TTATTGATGAGTCCGCTAGCAGGCTCGGACTAAATGCGCCCCCTCCTTTTCTTTTCTGTCCTACGATTTTCACGAGTTTATAACCGCAGCAAAGCAGCGCCACAAATTTATAATACTTCTTGCAATGTTTATATTTGCATTTAATAAAAAAATATAACAAGTTCATTCTTTTTCTTTGTACGACGCAAATGAATTAGATCTCATTGCTTAAAAACAGACATGAAATAAATCTGTATCTAATTTATAATAACAGCATTTTCATGTCGTTATGAGTTTGTTTTGAATAAATTTCACAAAACAGTTCCTTTTTATTTTCTCGATCTTCTGATTTATAGAAATTTATGATTTATAACAAAAATAAGAGTTAAATATAAATGTCAAGCCAGACGCTAGATCTTTAACCCTTTACTAGCACCATTATATGTATTTTACAATTTTGAGTTGTAACTGCGTAAAATGAAGATAATTACAGAAACAAGTCCCCAATAAATAGGAGCGTTGAAACGCCCCTGATACTGATTTCATGAATAAAAAATATTAATTAGAGATTAACGCGATGCAACGTTCGAACAGTCGAGGCATTCTTTTTAATTCCAAACTCTTGCACGCTTATGATAAAATAATCTACGAATTTCTCCTAGGGTTAAGTAATTCTGATTTCAGCGTCTCTCTCCAAGGCTCCGGCGCCTTTCAACCCTCTGACTAACTACAAATCGAATGAACACGTCTTTTAGAATGAATTCGAGTTTTCCGGTCGCTCGGAAACGCGTCCAAAACGGTTCGATCGCTTCCGACGGGGACACACGGTCTATAATTACCCTTTTCCGAGCAGAACGACTCGATCAGAGAGTCGAAACACTGGAAATCGAACGATAAAAATCCGCGAGTCTCTCCCTTATTTATCGGGGATGAAAAAACTGATCGCTACGACGCGACGTGAACATCTCGACGCCAATTATGGGATTCATTTACGCGTTTCCGTTCATATCGATCCAGCGTATGAACCTTTCGCATTGACATCGTTTTATTGACATTTCGTTTTCCCGCGGAGGTGAATCTAACGTCCAATGGATCGAAAGCGTCGCGTGAATCTTCGCGAGTCCCTTAGCCTAAACACGATAAGAATAAAATAAATAACGATAATAAGAACGATAATGCTAATGAGAGTAGCGACGACGATTATAATAGCACTAACGACGATACATAAAGGTGATACAAAATTGCGCTACAAATAGGAAAAATAAAAACATCGAGAAGAAGGGCTCGTTTTCGCGAACCAATGAAACGTGTGTGCTGAATCCGTACCCGCCATTGGAAGTTAAGTTCAGTCTGCGTTTACATTTCGCTGCGGCCATTTTCGCGCACGATCCTGAACAATCATGGTTCCGTGAAGCTTTCATAGTCGACAAAACGTCGATGAATAAATTTTTGAGAATGTAAAAATGATCGAGTAGAAAATGAGGGATTATTTCTCGTCACTGGAACCTCGATCGAGGGTGAATTTCAACCCTTCGATCGCTTGAGTATTTCGTGGCTTTTACCCAAGTCCTCAACTCTTATTTCACTCGTTTATCTCTGTAGAAATAATTGACTTCTCTAACAGTAAACGACTTATTTAGAAATTAGTAACTGTGCAATTTGTCGCATCTCATTATTTATTTGTATTTTATTTCATTTCAGACTAGTCCAGACCTTTTAATGATACATTTTTTTAGCGTACCGGAAGTGCTTTCTTAGAAGTAAAATAATAGTGAAATTTTATCCAAGTCGATTGATAGGACTTTTAATTGACGTTGATTGTAAAGTTTTAACCCTCTATTAAATAATATGGTTCAGAACTTACTCGAATGGAAAGCATCAATTAATATATAAATGACGAAGAAATAATTTATTTTTCGAAAGATAAAATGAAATTTATCTAATAAAGACAGATTATAACGTTTCGAGAATCAAATCAGAAAATATAATTAAAAAATTAGCACGGTAGATGATCGTATTAGTATAGAATGAAATAAATAATGCATGTAGATGAAGAGAAGACTCAAATATTAAAAATAATTAAATGGTCGAGCGTTATAAAAATCTCATGTGACAATTAATAAATCTGTGAACTCCAGTAGAGCCAAGCATACGAAGTAACGATCAGGTATTTTTACTATTTTAAATTAACCTACAATACTAGCACAGCTCGAATTTCGTCTCAAATGTGTGAAATCGAGGACCTTGAGAAAGGCAAGTGTACGAAGTAATTATCAAGTACCTTTTCCTATTTTTAATTAACCTATAGTACTAGCGCAGTTTGGATTTTTCTTCGCAAATTTGTGAAACCGAGGATTTCAGCAGTACGAAACAATTAATAGAGATTTTTGTCTATTTTGAACCAGAGTCGAACAGATTTTATTCGATTTTAATCAGTAAAAATGATAGATTCGTTCGTGAACAAACTTCCGTCTATGTTTCTATTCGCAAAGGCATAAACGAACTTTTCAAGACGGTATTTCCATTTGAGGGTGTCGATTTCAGGTGATTTTTAAAAATAAAAAATTATTATACAATTATAAAGCAAAGATTCTTAAATTGTTCTACTGTATTTAGTCATTTTTCAAGATAGCACAGTATAATTTTCATGGAATAATCTTTATTATTACTCGAGTTATTGTATATTTCCAGCTTATTGTTTTTGTGGCACGCATATGGTCACACGATGGCGCTTTACGTTGGAGTACTGGTCAACCGTAGGGGAACCCCCAAGTGAAGCTCGCCACGCGGTCGCGGGAAATTCTCGTGCTTGTATTACTATTCGAAACAATGTTATAAAACATCTCTTCTTCACTATCTCTGTAATTTCGCGCTATGGCGTATTAGACCTGAATAAATTACATTTTATATTCTATGGGACCACAATTTTGAATGGCTACCATGATGAAAAACGATGAATTTTCTTCAAATCTTACATACATTTTAAATAGATCTATCGTATGAATTAATATCATGCATCTACAATAGTTTCTTTTTATCACTTGAAAGAATTAAAAATTGTATAAGTTTCGATTTTATACGACTTTTATTTCGTCAAGAAAATTTGTTGGCTTCATTTTGGGTCAGATTATAGCAACCGGTATATAAATTAAAATTGCCATCGAATTTTTTATATCAGACGAACAAAACACAAATTGTGGCAGCCATTTAAAACACCACACCGCTGGCTACAGGTAATTATTTAAGTATTAAAAAAGATAGTATACTTTAATAGCGTTATTTAAAAACATGACCAAATATGTATGCAAAGTTTCAGTACTATATTAACTCATAATAAACTACATACTTTGTAACAAATATCGCTCTAAAAATGACGACTTCGAATGGGACTGGCATAGCGAAGCTAGTTTAGAACAGATCTAAGATTTTTTCCTTAATCGTGAATAAAATTTCCCCGACTCTGTTTCGAACGAATCTAAATTCCGCATTGCCCGATTCGAAGATGCAGTAGAAACGATCGAAGGGTCGACATTTACTTTCGATCTCCAAGTTCGAAGAAAATCACGACATCGTCGTGATAATTGCCCGGTCAAGCGAAGCTCGTCCTCAAAATGTCGCCTGGAACGAAGCACAGCCACGTCCTTCAGAAAACGAAGAATTTCGAGTTCGCTTCGCGTGAGCACGGTCTCTCACGGCCGGGCGCATGAAAGCGCGACGTTTGCTTTACAAACACACGGTGAATGCATTTTAATCTGAATGAAAAGGGATGCCTCTTTATCGCGACAGGAACTTCAGCTCGCGCGGACGATCACGGTGGTTCACTCAAGATGATTGAAGCGCGAATATGGGACATTCAAGTACCAAGGCATCAGAGATTGATAATCTCCCTCCTCCAGAATCAGAGTATACAGAAGAAACGAGGAAGCCCTTCGACACTGAATTCCAATTTCTTTTTAAAACAGTCAGCGTTCCGTCGACTCTTTTAGGTTGAAAAGTTTATACGAATCTGTAGAATTCAGAGCTCAGAGATAAATATTATTAAACATGATTCTGTTTGCGAAAGTAGCTCAACAATTATATTAAACGTTCCCGAGTAAATTTAACCCCTTGACGTACGATTCGATTAAAAGTTATTTTTCAAATGTACGCTACTTCGTTTTGTTTAAATTTGTTTCGCAAAAAATGAAAGTGTATTGATTTTTATATATTGAACTTTGTTGTACTGCAAGGGGTTAGTAACGTCAAGTTTTGCACTCAAAATTCAACTTTTGCAAATCAAATTTATCCTTTTGTTTCCTAGTACGTGATCGAGACAATGATCACTCTATTTTTTCTACCATATTCTGCAAGGACGTATCTTATTCAGAGTTGGGCAAATATTGTTCACGAATGCAGAGTTTAGATTGATTCGTAAACCAAATTCTACAAACATTTCATTCATAAATTCAGTTGCAAATAAAGTATCTATTAATGAATTTAATGCGTGTTTTCTTTGAAACAAAAATGTGATTCATACTCAGAAATTGTTACACTTATATCAATTGCCATCAGCTGCACAGTTTTCATATTATACATATTCGTACAAAATTATGATCTGGTAATTGCTATTAACCCTCATAACCCAACGAGATTCTACAGTTACATACCCATTGTCTACATTTTTTAAGTCTGATTTAATTCTATTGTCAGTATGTATAAATTAAAGTATTAAAGAGATGGTACAGTATTCTCACATTAGGGTGAGTATATACATTGCTATTAGTAGACTGCAGACGTTTATACATTTATGGGAAATTTCAAATCTCAAAAAACTACAGAATACACTTAATGTGCAAAAATAGAAGAAATAGAAAGATATGAATTATTATATTTAGGGGTTGAGATAACCCTCTACAAAGCTTCCATTTCATGAATTTTATTAATAAAAATATGAATTTACATAAAGATCCGCAGTCTAGTTATTTGTATTTATCAATGGTCATATTATATAATTTTTTTCGAAAACCAAACACAATTTGGGCTACAGAGGGTTATAGATATAAGCGTACAGTACAATTTGGAATATATAAAATTTCCAGTTTAATTCTGTTTCTATTACGAAAGCATAAAAGAACACATTTCTAGAAGAACTTGAATTGCAAAACGTTGAATTTGGTAGTTAAAACAGTGAAAATGGTTGAATCTTAGCTGAAAAAGCAGAGATTTTGGCACCTCTTTAAATCGTCGATCCGTGTTCGCTCCTCGACCTCGACCAGGAAACACCGTCCAATCGATATCGATCGCCCTCGCTGAAAGCATCCTAGGGGAAGCCAGCCAGCCAGGCTTCCTTAAAAAAATACCATCGCGGCCGATAAAATCTGGATTTGTTTACGCGGTATACTGAGCAAAGGTCCGTTCCCTCTGCGTTTCCAGATGGTCCTTCATGGCCAGGACCGTGGGATGATGTGGCGGGAGTCCTTCGTCCTCCACGAGATATCGCAGCGCTTCCGCTGCGCAGGCATCCCAACCGGCGCCCCAGGACATTGGGACTTGTTCCTGGCGACCACCGACGTCCTCCGGCTCCGAGTCCATTCTGAGACGATGGTCTAGACACTCGTAAAACTCCGTGAAGCCATGTTCCTTGGTGAACGAACGGGACGAGTCCTGTCTCTGACATCTTTCTGGGACCGTCTCTTGATAACGGCTCCCCTTCACCTCTTGATCCTGAAGGCAACCATGTTCCGTGTAGCTGGTGTCAGCCAGGTCCATGCGATCCCTATCGAACGAACTCCTCGCCAGAAGTCTGATCGGATTCTGCTTTTGTTGGGACTGCTTCAATTCCTCCGCTAGCGAGGCAGCCAGCTGGTGCAGCAGTCTGGTATTCTCCAACTCCTCTTCTTCCTCGTCCAGCTCGTCAGCGTCCAGGTCCACGCCTTCGTCCTCCGAAGAGGACAACAGGTCCTCGTTCTCGTCCTCCATGCCCAACAACGTTAGCAGTCTCTCCGCCGCTTCTGCGCAAATGGACAAATCGTCTTTCGTGTACATTAATCGTAGCAGATTCAGGGAGAGATGGTCTGGGTTAGAGATTTTTTTACAAAACAAGCAAAAGTTTCTTAATTTCAACGTCTTGCATACATATTCATTTACGTTTTATGGATGTTCACGATTTTTTTCAAGCGAAAATAATCGAAACGGACTGAATTACATGTCATCGAACAAGGTTCCTTTAAAAAAAAAAAGTGTCCTACTGACTGACACGATTTCGATCATTCTATTGTACCTATCTAATATGAAACAATTAAAGGATTCTTGACTGGTATGAAGCAAAATTAACAAAAAGTAATGAAAATTTAAAAAATGGCAGTATTTTAAATTTTGAATACCGATTTTCTTGACTTTTTTTTATGTTTTGTAAGCTAAAATAACAATAAGGAAAATTATTTTTTTTATAATTTTGGTTTAGACCATAATCACAATCATACTAATCAAGAATCCTTTTTTCGAAGTTCGGATAAGCAGAATGATTCGAATCGTGTCAGCCAGTAGGACACTTTTTTTTAAAAGAACTTTGTTCAACGACGTATAATTTAATCAGTTTTGATTATTTTCGCTTGAAAGAAATTGTGAACATTCATAAAACGGAAATAAATATACATATATGCAAAATGTAGAAACCCATACTTAACCTCTTTTTAACTGATTTTGGAAGAATAGACTCATAGCCAAGAAAAGTCTTTACAATTAAAGTAGAGACGTTCAAACACTTGAAAATACAAACTGAGACGAGCTTATCTTTCATTATTTAAATCAAATGAAACATTTGATTGTTTAAGAAGTCTTGATTATCCAAGCATACTTGATCATCCAAACAAACTTGATCATGTATTCTCATTTAATTATATTATTATATTTGAATGACAACGTTTGCTTGGATAAGATTTGAGTTTAGAGAATGATTATTTTGGAACAAGGATAAAAACCTTAATAAGTAATACAAGTATAATTCTTATAATTGAGATTCAAGTTTTTAACTTACTATATTATAGTTCTTCTCACATTTTGTATGAACAATCAAGTTGTTCAAACAATTTGAACAGATTGAATTTTCTGGAGTTTGATCAAATATTCAAGCTACTTAGATAACCAAATACTTAATTTGGCTTAAAAAAATGAGTTTTGTCTTGATTTGAATTTCAAGTACTTCGACAGTTTTAAATCAAAGACAGGTTGAGTCAATAAAAACTACAGTCGAAGTCTACTCTACGTAAAAGTGCTGTGATTTATTTACTTTTTGTAATTAACTTCTTAGTTTTTACTTCTCATCATAGTTTAAATTACAAATTTTGTTAACAGTTTTAGAGAATAATATGGTTTATGTCAACTAGAGATCATTACTAATTAAAGTTCAACGAAACCAAGTGGACAAAATTGAATGGATATTGCTTACCGCTCAAAATCAAGACCATAACTGCTTCTCTACATAAATCATTCTATGCAGAATGAATATCCTCGTGTACTCATAACAACGTATTTTTTTAATTTTTTCGATTAAACTAAAATATGATGAATCGCAGTGAATTCCAAAAATGAATTATTTTCGATCATAGAGAGGGCTTCTGTTATGGAAATGTTGCAAAAAAAATGCAGTATTTTTAAGAGCGCCGTTGCTTAATATTGCAAAAAATACATAAAATTCAATATTAAAGGCATTAGGAATAAACAGCTGTATGCTTTCTTGGCTATCTAGTTTTTCATCAGATAGAGATTAAATAGTTAAATTCAATAATAATTACTCAAGAGAAATTAATGTTACATCTGGTGTTCAACAAGCTTCACATTTGGGACCTTTTCTATTTATAATATAGAGTGTTTGGCCACTCCTGGGAAAAATTGTAACTGGAGATTCTAGAGGCCAAAATAAGACGAAAATCAAGAATACCAAATTGTTGATAGAGGCTTCGTTAAAAAGTTATTAACATTTAAAGTTCCGCCCGTATTGAATTTTTTTCTCGATAATGCGCAGGATTTCGGGGGTATATCTATTCACCAAAAATGATTGTAATTGATCCCCGCAGTCGAAAACAACTTTCCCAGAACGATTTGAAATTTTTTTTTCGTCGAAAAATTTAGGCACGTTGATTTGTCTTAAAAATTCGTTTTTCATTTTTAATCAATTTGGTTGGCGCTGTACAGAAAAGTTGTTTAATACTTTTTTATAGGTATCCGTGAGCTTTAGTTCTCTACTACATTTCAATGAGATACGTTCACTATTGTAAGAGTTATGACTATTTGAATATTGGACCATTTTTATGAGGTTTTTTTCATTTTGCGGAGTCAAGGAATAACTTTACGAAAAATTTTGGAATTCCCACATATTCTTCACCAAAATACGCGTTGTTTGCATTTTGGAACATTAAAATCCTTCGATCCGTTTAGAAGTTATGACGTTTTAAAGATATGCATGACATTTGGGGAGACATTTCCGGCCTCATATTAGATTTTCGGTAAAGAATTTTTTTCTCGAAAATGCGTAGGATTTCGGAGGTATGTGTAATGACAAAAAATGATTGTAATCGATCCCTGTAACCGAATATAATTTTTTCATTCAATTTTTTCACTAAATTTTTATTATATGCCGATAATCTTAAGATATAAATGTATAAATGAGTATAATCAGCAAAATGCTCAATCAATACAAAATGACCTTTACAGGTTTCAGAATTGGTGCTCATTAAATAAATTGTCCCTCAATCTAGATAAGTACTATATTGTTAAGTTTAGTAATAAGAAAAATAATATTGTTTATGATTATACTCTAAACGGTATCGTACTAACCTTGCTTAATCATGTTAAAGATCTTGGTATAACTTTCTCTTCTAACTTATCTTTCAAAGTTCATTATGAAAAAATTATTTCGCATAGTCTTTACTCTCTGGGACTTATTCATAGAGTTTCCAGATACTTTAGTAAAACGAACGCACTCAACACATCACGTTGACAAGACCTATTCTAGAATTTGGCAGCATAATTTGGTCTCCTTATTACAAAACATATATCGACAACATTGAGAGAGTTCAACACACATTTCTTCGTCTTAATCACATAAGTATGACGACTTACTTATTAACACTAATCTTCAAACATTGCATAACAGAAGAAAAATCACAGATATTATGTTTGTACGTAAGCTAATCAAAGGTCATATTTCGTGTTCAACGATTACTCAATTGTTTCCTTTGTACGTACCATCAAGATATTTAAGAAATCACTTTCTATTTTGTTCTGAAAGTTACCGCACAACGTTTGGATCTCAGAATTGTGTAAATAGAATGATTAGTCATGCAAATTTTGTACACACTAAAACTGATTTAATTGAACAATCATTAGAAGGTCTAAAATTATCCTTACAACGTATTGTAAGTTAATTTATTTTAAAATTTTATAAGCGATAATGTTTGACTATATCCACATCTGTAGCTTCTTACATATTACATCTTTGTACTATAGGGTTTATTTCCGTTAATAAATGAATAATAATATTGTGGCGAATATTGAACGGACGAGATCGTTTTTCGAAAATTCACTTATGCAAGACTGTGATCGACATTTTAACTCTCTGGGGCACGCTGGGATTAACAGTGTCCCACCCTTTTGATGCACCGTAATGCATGGTGGGACATTTTTAGTTTATATTTCGTCTTATTTACGTGAAGCAGTTGGTAATATCTTCAACAAATGTTACAAATGTATTCACTTATGTCGGCAACATTCAACATGTCAATACAGGTTCATCAATTGTTGCAAGCGGAAGATTTATTGCGACAACTATTACTATTTGTTGGAAATCCTATAAATACAATACAAAACTGAAACGAGTAATGTAAAATGGAATGTGAAATGAAATATTTCAGAATCTAGATACGTATATGTTTAAAACAATAGACAGCGTCCTAATAACCGCTACAGCGAGGCGCGATCGCTAATGAATGTTTGTCGTTATGAGAATGTCGCTCTGAAAATATCCCATAATATCCAATACTATTTTTACATTATGTGATACCTTTATTAATAAAAATATACCAATTTTGTTTAATTTAAAACGCAACAAAAATTTCTATGCAACATGGGTCTATTTTGTTATCTGAAATCCTGTGCCGCAAAGAGTTAAAGAAGCTCAAAGATATTCTAAAGAACCGTCGAACGAGTATTCTGATGGATGGAAAGAACATGAAAGGAGCCTGAGAAGTCGGGAGAACTCGATTTAGTCGTCGCGACGAGCCCAGTAGCCGCCGATAAAGTAATGCCACGAATCAAAGAGGATCGCCGCGAGGACCGGAATTCGGGTTCGACTCGGTGCCCTGGTTTTGCTCTCTCCTGTGGGAATCCTGTACCATGAGCCTCCCATGGGAACTACCTGTCGCTACCCACCCCATCATCCGTCCTGCGAATCATCGAATTTCGCACGAGCCTCTCTCTCGTCTCGGTATCGTAGCGCGGAACCACGATCTACGGCGTCCACGCGCCCCTTCTGAGAACCCTTGGCTATGGGGTCGTCAGGTAGGGCCAGTCGGGGCTTACCTGTTCCTGGGAACGATGTGGATACCATCTACGCAGGGGGTGTTCAATTAACCCTCGTACGACCAACGGCAGGATCACTTTGACCCGTGAAGGATAACACGGTTCGACACAGACGCGCTCGAAAATTTCAAATAGTAATTTAAAAATAATCGTTTCGAACAATGTGTAAGCAGCCTCTAGCACGAAGTATGCATTTAAAAGTTATTCATTTAGTTAGTCGCTTGTCAATAATAATTTCATTAATTGCGTTCGAGTTAGCCTTCCGTACGAACTATTGTATTCAAATATTAAAGGAAAAATATCTTACAAATGTTGATTGGCGTTTCATAAACGAGACGATTATTACAAGATCTAAGTAACGAAACCAAAAAAATCGGGATTCTAATTTAGTAGGGTAGATCGACGGCGGTTGTAACACTTGAATTATAGAATA